CGCGAGGCAGCGGGGGAGGGGAATATTAGCCGCGGGCGCAGTAGCATTAAAGGGGAACAGTTAAATTAATAATTCTGAAATTGCTGGGAAAGAGAGGCAGAAATGTCACTCGTGTCTCTTTGCGCAGTTGCAGTTTTCCAGCTGGCGAGCGAATGGAAATCTGAGCCGCGCGCGCGGCCGCTTTCTTTCAAAAAATCGATCCGCCGTCTCGGCTGAATGAATTCGATCGCGAGTCACACGATCGTACCGTGCGAGCCGGTGTTACCGTAATCTCGTCGCGTAATCGAATATCCGGCTGTAACACCGATCCGTATGCATCCGATCGTAAGAATGCCGCATTTGCAGATCTCGGTGAATAACAAAACGCGCATCAGAATGACGTTCTCACGCGAGCCGCAGCATCTTCTCTCAAACGTTCCCTGTACTACATTTTGACGAAATTGAGAAATCAGTCTCGTTAAAAGCTCGTTGTCGCTGCCTGCGAAATGCCTGCAACACCTTTTAACGCGGTCGTCTCTTTCATCGCATGTGTCGATCATTACGGCGGTAAAAAGATACCGCAGCCTCGCTGATTTAATTTTTTCATTAACGCGCTCCCGCGCAAAGTACGATGCGCCGGCGCGATTGGCCGTCGATTGCTGTAATTTTCACGCGTCGATCCAATGGGAAACGAGATTATTTCGGACACCTCGCGGCGGCGGCGGCCGGGGGGGATTTTGGCGGCAGTCGTAATTATGGGGCCCCGTATTTCGAAACGGGGCCTCTCTCGCGGCCGTACGGCGACGGGGCTTGTTATTGGTACCGTAAACAACATGATTATCTTCTTCACCGCGCGGTGAAACCCGCCGAAAAAGATTCTATTAATATTTATGACGATCCGTGAGCGCGCGCGCGCGATTCGCTTCGACACCCTACGGAGAGGTCGGGCTTTGCCGAATTATGCGAGCGGATGAGTTATAGGCTGCGGCTGCATCCGCGCGCGATCGTTTCCTACGTTCTCATTACCGTCCGAACGCATCCGCTACACTCGTAAATGAATGATGAAGACGAATGAGGAGCGCATTTATCAATTTCGCGAGCGTCGTCGCGTGGCTCGTGCCGCGCAAGTCCTGTTGGACAAATCACTTTTGGACAGACACGGTCGAAGGTGTCGCGCCGCCGAAAATGTTCGTAGCTCTCCGACGAGAAAGAGGGGGCAGAGAAAGAGAGAAGGAGAAAGCACGGATTCGCTGTTGCAATTTCGACGCAATTATTCCGCGACACGCGTTCTCCTTACCGCCGGTAATCGCCGGTTAATCGAGGGCATCGCCGGCGAGAACGAGCGAGAACGGGCGAATGATTGAACAACTGCAAATCGCGAGGCGCGAATTAATCGTAAAACTGCAGCGGCGTCGCCGTCGTCGTCGGGTCGTATTGTGAAAAATGTTGGCCCGTTGGTGAATCCCGAACGCGCGCGATTTTAATGCTCCCGCGCACGCGATACGATTTCGAGGCGCTAATGGGAGGCGAATCGACATGATTTCACGCAAGGATTTCACGCGAATGCGAAATTTATTCGCGGCGAAATGCAATGTCGCGTCGGGCGATTCCCGCCCTGCGGGCGCGAGCTCGCCGGCGCGTTTCTCTTTAATGATATTTAATAATGCCCGCGCGCGTCACCCGAAAACATCACCGCGAGGAAGAAACGGAAAAGAAAAATGGCGCCTTCGCATCGGGGTCAGCAGCGCGCATCGCGCATTCATTCAGAACGTTCCATCACGGAACGAGCTGTTTTTTTATTGCCCCGAGAAATCGCGCCGCGTACGCGCGGCGGATTCGACGGTGATATTTTATTTCGACGTGTCGTACAATATTTTTTTTATATCTGTCGCTGGATTTATACGATAAACAGGATCCAATAATCTGCCGGGATGGATAGCCCCAAAACTCGATGTTATTGATACGACGGCACGTTTTATTCGCGTATACATATTTATTTGTTATAAATTTTAAAACGACGATGTTTACACGGCAGTCGTATTTATTTCTGACGTGTGTACATCCGCGCGCACGCGCGCTTTTATGCGCTCACACAAAGCCGTTCGGATTTATTTCTGCGGATAAATACGCGTTGCAGGTGAATTAAACGGTATCTGATTTTCCGGATAATTAGACCACCGTTAAATTATTAAACAGCATCCGCGCGCCGGATGCGTTCCCTTCAACCGGCCGCGACTAAAATGTTAATGGCGCAGGAAATCGAGTTTATCATTTCGTAAGGTAATACCGTCCCCCGAATCGAACGCTAGACAAATTGAAGAACGTGCGTGTTAATTACGTGCCACTCCGTTAGGATTTACCGAGGACACTGTCATCACATTTTCACGCTACGAGCTAAGTCCCGTAAAAATAGAGGGACATTAAATTCCCTCCAGCGACGAATTCCGGGTTAACATTCTCGGAACGGTCGCTCTAACGAGCTCCGCGATGATAAAAGTGAAAGGCGCGTGTGCAACTCGGTTTCGAGTCTTGCGGCGTGCTCGCGGTTTCTTTGTCGCGAAAGGGGTTGAAGAAATTGGCAGGACGGAAGAGGGGCAAGGAGGAAGGAAGAAAGGAAGGAAGAGGCGAAACGACGGAGAGATGCCGGCGCAACGCGATATTTCGCTATCTCCGAGGCGCCTTCTCAACATGTTAATTGTATATTTGAGGTGAGGCGATAAACAAGGGCCTCGTCGGTAGCTCGTTCTTGCCGCGGAGAGTCTTCATTACCAGCAGTAATATATAACCGCAGCCCCGCGGGGGCATTCTCGATTCGCGGAGCGAGTTACGAAGTGCCGAGCACGTACCGGGTGACCTGAAAAATCGGCAATTTTCAGCCGGTCGAGTGGAACGCACGATCGTTAACTGCGCCGATGCCTCGCGCGATGAATAACTTTTTTGCGCTCGAGTTCTCTGCCGTGAACTCGCACGGCCATCTTGATTTCGAGGACCGAGCGTTCCTCTCGTTACCGAAGTGAACGCGACGACGATGTCTCGGCTTAGCAAGCCGAGGTTTTGCGAGGTCGCCGCGGCTAATCGTACCTGGGAATCTCGTACCTGGGCTGTTCATCGTGCCTCGCAGCCTCCTCCTGAATGAGAATTCTCGCGGAAAGAAAGCGAAATCGCATGTGATCTCGGCCATTGGTTTTGAAGACGGTCCCTCGAATATACAGGATGCGTCAGCTTCTCCGTACTTCTTCTTATCTGCGGGTTCGTTGGCAAATTTTAAGCCACTTTTTCTCAATAAGAATATCGAAATAACACGATTCTTTCATTACAAGTGTACGGAGGTGTAGACGTTTGTGCATAACGGTGCGTATATACGGGATGTGCCAGTTTCTCCGTATCTTCTTTCGTTTTTTAGATTTTTTTTACGAACTTTAAATCGTCATCTCTCAACGAAAATATCAGGAAATGACACGGTTTTTATTATAAATTTATGAAAATGCAAATATTTTTATATAACCGTTCATATGTACAGGGTGTCTGGGATTTTTCGGAAACGAAAAATTGTGAAAATTAGTCAGATCAATCTGAGAAGAAAAGTCAAGTACCATTTTGCAAAAATCGCAATAGTTATTGAGTTATTAATGCTTGAAAATGACCACATCTGGAGGCTCTTTCAATTGACAACCTGAAAATTTGTGTACTTATTTATCTTATTTACTTACTTACGAAATGGTAAGGGACTTTTTTATTCAAAATTACTTAATTACCATTTACCATTTTGCCATTTACAATTTACCATTTTGCAAATAAATACGCAAATATTCAAGTTATCGATTAAAAGAGTCTCTGAATGTGGTCATTTTCAATTATTAATAACTATTGCAATTTTTGCAAAATGGTACTTGACTTTTCTTCTCAGTTTGATCTGATTAATCTATACAATTTTTCCTTTCCGAAAAGTCCCTGGACACCCTGTATATATTTTTCTGTAGATCGTTTTTAGGAATTTTAGAAACCGTCATCTCTTAACAAAAATATTAGGAAATAACACAATTTTTATTATAAATTTATGAGAATGCAGATATTTTTATATAACCGCTTATATATATATATATATATATATATATACATATATCGATAACAAAGTTAACAAAACTCGTGTTTAAACGAAATTGTAAAGTATTTTAGTTCTAAGATTGCTTGCGAAACCGTTGGAAGTCAAATATCAGAAGGTCGCAGGAGAAGATAGCATTGAATTAAACTCTTGCTTCGGGATACGAAGCAAGAGTTCTCATCAGGGAAACGCAAAGAGACAGTGCGGTAGCCCTGAAGGAGTATGCCATACTCGTGGATCTTGATTGAACTGCCGTTAAAAAAATATCAATTCCGAAGCGGTCAAAGAACGCACGAGAGCATGCACGAGAGTGTTCCGTGGGACATCCTGTATACACGTGTGTACCAATCGGCCTTCGGGTCCTGACCGGTGCGAACCGGTTTCTTCAGCTCGATTTTCGACACGAGCTCCGAGCCGTGCCGCCCCCTTCAACCCTCTCGGACTCTTCCGCCAGGGTTTCTTGCGCATCATCATTTTTGTCCCCTCGTTGGAGAAAGAGAACGAGGCTTTATTCAAGACACGACGTGGCAGATAGCGACGGCACGCCCTCCTGGTGTCAGATTTTATTTATCTCACGGCGGCTTTTTGTTTCGCGCTAAATACTCCGGCGTTTAAGAAGACGGCCTTCCCCGATTTATGGCCGCCGCCGTCGCCGCCGCCTCGAGTTCAACTTCTTGCTCCTTTTCATCTTTCTCGAGTCTTCGCGCGAATTCACGCGGGCTCTTCGAGGATACTCATCTCGCAACTCCATCCGTCAACGGCTTCCTGATTCCTCCGGAGGACATACCGAGTATTTGTTTGATTCAAGTTGTGCCGTCTTTGAAACGATGACAGTGCGACGTGTGACTCGTAAAAACGTAGGGTGGAAAATTCGAAACGATCGGTTGTTAATTACGAACCTCATTCCTTTCTCTTCCAGATAAACATGGAAGCGGTGACCTCGACCGACTACGATTCCACGAACCTCAGCAGGAATTTCAATCAGGTCGGCTTCAACACGTACAATTATTCGCAGTTCGAGGAGAAGTACAAGCCGCGGCAGATCTTCAAGTACGGCGACGAGTATCTCGAGTACGGCCACAACTCGGTCAGGCTCGACGCCAACGAGCGATTCGGCCGGTCTCAATCCAAGTATCAGGACGGTGCGAGGCTCAGCGATCAGCGATACTCGCGGAGTCACTCTCAGCCTGAACGGCAGCACCACCTCGCGCAAGAGACACGTTCCAAGTCCCAGGACTCGCGCGAGCTCACGTTCTACCAGATTGACCCGCCGCTGAAATCGGACAACTCGCGGCAACCGCACGACAAGTCGCACCAGAAGCTGAAGAAGGAGCTGACCTTCTACGAGATCGATGGGCCGCCGCCGCCCATCTCGCAAGAGAGGAGAGAGAACGTTGAGATGTGCAAGGAGCGCGGCGACAAAGCGACCAAGTCCCATGTCGGCGCTCAGGAGAGGTCGCAAACCTCCAAGCACGGCAGGCAAAGTCACCAAGAGCTGAAGGCGAGCGCGCCGCCGGACTGCCAGCTCAACCGGTCGCAGTCCGATCTCACGGAGTGTCAGCTGCCGAATTACTACGGCCACCGCAATAATCCGTACATCGATCCGCCCAAGTACCGACACTTCGACAGGCCGCCACGCTATCAGGAGACGCCGCCGAGATCGGAACCGCCGCCCAAGTATCACGCCGACCCGCCCAAGTACACCGAGGTGTCGGCCAGACGGCAAGATGACTTTAAGAGGATCCAGGTAAGCCCGTGAGAGTAGGAAATTCTCCGTCCGCGTGCCTTTGTAACTTGAACGACGTCGGTGCGCGCGCGGGATACTCGGAGGTCTCGTCGACCTCCGCGACGCGCCGCGACGTCAAACGAGATCTCGGCGATCTGGGGATCGCCTGCTGTAACTTTACGTCATGCAGCCGGGAGACCGTTTGAGAAATTAGCGTCCGAAGACTCATTAGAGCGTGGCGTTATGCGATATAACACTTCGGCGCGCGGCCGCATTCGTCGCGGGGAAAGGCTCTGGCTGGCCGAGGGACGCTGAAAGCTAACGTTATTGGCAGAAAATTCAGCTAGATACGCGTTGGCAGCGATGTCGGTTGCAAAGATATCGCGATTATTACAATAATTTTCCTACTAACTAACTCGACTCGTTGGCATTTCTTCTTGTGTGCGTTGATAAAAGCATATTTTCGTGTATCTCCGGCATCGACCTCGAGGGCTCGCTCGAGGCCCGTTTACACCAGCAATAACGTGCGTTTGTTTTAGCGGTATCGGCAGATGGTTATCGACAGATCAAGAAGAAGTGACTTGAAATTGCCAAGAACAATTATTTCCAATAGATTAGCGAGACAAATTGATTGTATTTTGCAATTAACTTTGTTACTTTGGGGTAGCACAAGGGGGAGCAAGGAGCGAGTGTTTTGATCTTTGTGTAAGTTGCTTCTTCCAATGATGTGTGTTGACTCGTCTCGTTCGGCGATCTGAAACGAAGAATGTTGAAAACAAATGTTATCAGCGGAGCGTTTGAAACAAACGCGTTGGCAGCGCTCTGTAAATAGTTTTCCTAACTTTGTCCTCGACATCTGTGTTTTCCAAACGTTGTTGGATGTTTTGTCACAAACATTTAGTGAATCATTCTCCGAAGAAGATAGTTTTGCTGGAAACATTTTTAACTTTTATTTGCAACTTTTCGTTACTTACATCGTCATCGCTATTTCCTCGCTGTAAATTAACCTTCAGAGGCCGTACTTGAGGAGACGAATATCCTCCTTTTGTATATAAACTTATAAATTTTCTTCGTACGACTCTTGTAATATTACAATTATTAGTGATCAATATTTCTTTTTACAACTGTAAAGGTTATCCGCAATTAATCTATAATTTGAGACACTTATGATTTAATTACGAAAAAGCTTTATTGTGCAAAGGTTACAAAAAGCCTTCAAAGTGACAAAGCCGCTCTGATAGGAAAAGTGCTGATGCAAAATATAACCAAAGAAAAAAAGTTGCAGCGCGCCTTAGCGCGTACGGGGCAATCAAGTCGAATTTCTCCCGCAAGAAAGAAAAAGAAAAGACAGAGAGAAAGAAGAAAGAGAAGAAAAGAGAACAGTCCGGGAGAGCGGGATTAAAGTTCGCGTTCGTCGTTCTCCCTCCCCCCCCCCGATCGCGCTCCGTCATTATTATTCCGTCCTCGCGGCGGCTCACGTGGCGGCGGCCGGCGGTATCCGGCATGTTAACGGTGGAGCGCGTATGAATCGTAGTACTACACGCCGTCTACTATGTCGCGTTATCATTCGGCAGGAGGAGAAGGGCAGACGACAAGGTGGCAGCGGGGGCGGTGGAATCAGCAGCAGCAGCGGCGGCGGCGGCGGTGGCGGTGGCGGTGGCGGCGGTGGCGGTGGCGGCAGTGGCGGCGGTGGAGGCGGCGATAATTCCGGATCAGGAAGGGGGAACCCCGGCACTCATGGCGCCGAGACGCCCTCTAATCTGGCCAGTATCACGCCAACCGCGCGAGAAGCAACACGCGCTGTGGCCACGCGACAACGATTCTCCTATAAGACGTGTAATCTGAGCGGCAGCAACAACAACAACAACAACGACAGCAGTAAAGAGAACCTGTTGCAGGAGGCCGGCGATGAGTGCGACGCGTCGTTGCCCTCGAGTCGATGTCACATCGAGTCGCTGAAGAGTCATCATCATCATCATTATCATCAACAGGCGCAGCATCAGATCCAGCGCGGGATCAGTGGTGGCAGCGTCAGCGGCAGCTCCGGTGTCGCCGGTAATGTCTTCTTGGACGGCGGTGGGTCGTGCGGCGAGGTAACGGTGTGCGACAAGTACAAGGTCACAGGGTCAGAGCTGAATCGGGCCGGCAGCGACGCGGCTCAAGGTCGCCTCAGCGACAGATCCATGCTGAAGATCGAGAAGCTCTCGGGAAAGGTCGCTCTGCACGTTGGTGGCGGCGGCGGCGGCGGCGGCGGAGGCAGTGGCGGAGGCAGTGGCGGTGGCGGTGGCGGCGGTGGTGGCGGCGGCGGTGGCGGATGCGGCAGCAGTGGTGGCGTTGAGGCAACGGTGGGCAAGTGCGGCGCGGAGAGAATGAAGTCGACGCAGGAGGCCGGTTACAACAAGCACGAGCCGCTTGTGGTCGGCAAGGCCAAGGGCCATGATGTTGGCCACGGGTACAAGGTCGAGAACCTGCGCTACTACGGCGAGCTCAAGGGCTACGCCGATTTCAAGTCTTATGGTACCGTGGACAAGCAACCGGCGGCGGTGCTGGTGTCCGCTCACGAGAAGTCACATCTTCTCCACGCGCCCTCGTGTGACAAGGGTGACAAGTGTCACGGCAAGGTCCCGACCGCGTCGGCGATCGCGCAGGGTTACGCTCTCGCCAAGGTCGGCCAGCAGCAGCCGGAGAAGGCCCACCACAGCGATCACTATTATCATCGATCGTCGCACTCGAAGCCGCCGAACGCCTACCAGGTGTATCAGGAGACCAAGTATTCGTACAACGTGAGCGGGGTGCCTGGGACGCCGGCGCAGGCCAGCGCAGCCGCAGCCTTCTTCGCAAGGTCAGTTTAGTCAACCTATACCTGCGTGTCCCTATAGCTACGCGGCGATAGCGCGTGTACGATAACGCGTGTGACGCACCTGCTGTGTCGCGCGACTGACGCCAGTGTCCTAGTTACGAGCGTCGTGATACGTGATACGTCGACCGCTCTCTTCCGGCATCATCATTAATCTCGGTGGGATCCTTTGTCCTGTGAAATTACGGGATATGAGGATTACGTTTGATTTCACGAGGAAGAATCGTGGAGAATCGTGTCCACCTGCCAGTCGTTAATTCTCTCAGCTTCGCGGCTCTCGGAACGTTTCAACGACTCGTTTCTCTACTGAAGCTCGCAGTGAAATTAGGATTGTACAGGAAATTAGGATGGTACATTACATTACGATATGTAAAACATGAAACAAATATGAATATTATTAATAACCAATGAATCATACGATAAAAAATACTTTCTTTAATATTTCATACTTTATTGATCACACATGAGCCACACACGCACGCACGCACGCACGCACACACGCACGCACGCACGCACACATACATACTTCAAAGAGGAATAATTCGCGGGAATAATTTCATTTTTCGCATTTCGTTATTTTTATCTTTCGCGGTGATTTCGCTTTAAATTATATTAAATCGTATTAAATTATATTAAATTATACCCATATATTGAATTATATATTGAATATTATGCTTTCCTCTCACTTTTCACATCTTATAAAATATCGAATATTACGCCCGTGGATCGTAGCACGCGCGTGTTTATCTAATTTCGATATCGCTTTAGAGATTTTCGAAATTACGAAACTTTCCAAAATGTGCACCTGCTGCCCATTACACATGTTTGTTTAATTTTAGTAATTTTTTAACATTTCGCGCCGTTTCGCGATATCGCTTACGATGTGTATCCGTGATTACTTCTTAGCAAATAAGAACGGAAAGGCGACTGTTTCGCATTAAGACAATTTGAACGCGCGAGAGTTTAGCGCTGTAATTACATGATTTTTATTTGTTCGTGGAAATTTATATTCTCGTTTGATATGTCCCCGGCGAAGCGACCAATTTACAGGATCACGAATGCGTGTATACATCTCGTATTCCGTTAGCACGTATCTAGTGAGTAAACGTAAAAATCGAGCGCCCGGCATTTTTCATCGTTAGTTATCAAGCAGGTCTGCTTCTTGGAGCGTGAACGCAATCGAAGCAATGCTCGCGATAGCAAAGGTATTATTTATTACGCGAATCGATAGCTTGCTTGTTCGAGAGAAATCTATTAATTCTAAACTGCCTCTTTTTCTCTCTCTCTCTCTCTCTCTCTCTCTCTCTCTCTTCCGAGCTGGCATGAAATTTCATTTCAATCGACGTAAGGTCCGCTGAGCGCGCTCCGCCAAGCGACAGAGCGAAATCCGGACAGGTGCGATTTAGCAGAGCCGCGCGGACTCTCAGACGTCAGCGCGCGTACAACGCGACGACACCACATCAAACGAGCATAAAAACTCGTTACTTTGTACCTCGGCCCGTTCTCCCATTCATCCGGAGCAATGAGTTTTCCGTGTTTTAACGCGGATAATCACGTGCCTCCTTCCTTGTGCGAGCGCAGCCGGCCGCGGAAATAATACGCGGCTTTAAGCCCGTGCGCCTCCTTCGTCCCGCGAGTGGGTGATAGGTATGAAAGCTCGATTCTCTCCCCGAGCTGTTGGACTTATAAAGCGCATTTTCATCGCCCCCCTCCCCCAACCACCCCCCTCCCCGCGCGCGCGCAGGCACACAGGCACACGCGACCATCCTTGCCGGTTAGGTCGCTTCTGGAGCTTTGATCTCGGCCCGCCGTATTTTCAACGTCCCTCTACGCGCAAAACTTGCGTGCGAGCGCACGAGCGAGCACATGCGAGTAAATCGCATGTGGTTTGCGCACGAGGAGAGCGCTCTCTCTCTCTCTCTCTCTCTTTCCCCCTCCCTCCCTTTCTCTCTCTCTCTCTCTCTCTCTCTCTCTCTCTCTCTAAGGCTCCCGCAACCACAGCCATCTTTTCCCCTTAACCTTAGGCGCGACCTCAGCCCTTTAATAACCTTGCTCATAGCTCGTGGATATTGTAAAGCACAATGGCATTCTTGGGGCCGCCCGCTCGTACTCCCGTCTCCGTCTTTACCCACCTCCGTCTCCCCGCCTTTCGCGTCTCTCTTTGTCTATTCTCCACCTCTTTTCTCTCGCTCGCTCTCTCTCTCTCCCCCCGCAGAAATCGCCCTCGCTCGCCTTCTCCACTTTTGTGTGTGAACGCACGCGTATCGCGCGAATCCGTGTGAGTTATTAGCGGCGACTAATTACGAAGTACGCTTAATAACGACGTATGTGGAATCGAAAGTTTTTTCGGACTCGATTCTGGGGCGGGAGAGCGGAGGGGAGAGGCGAGAAGAACGCTCGAGGGGGTGGTCCGGCGGGGACTACGAACCGCTCTGGCAAATTATTCAAAGCGAATAGGACTGTTATTATCCGGATGCTCGGCCATCCATGCATGTAATAAGCGCCGTGCGTTTTCAAAGCGAGCGCGATCGCGCGCGCGGCGGCTTTAGGCTTACGCGAGTTTTAATAGCGTTGTCGCACGGGCACAGAGCACGATGACGTGGCCGATGATCGCGCTATTCAGGCTGCAATCGGACACGGTCATATTCGACAGCGAGACGCACAGATCCGCCCTTTTAGCTCTCGCTCCAATCGCGCGCGCGCGCGCGCGCGTAATTGCTTCGCGCCGACAACGAGAGCGTGTCGCGCGCGTTTCTGCTCTTTTCGGGAGAAACACACACAGCTGATATCCAGCCGCGAATTCCGGATATTTATCCGGGAATTCTGCCGGGAACGTTGGTGGGAGGGGGGGGGAGGGCGAGGACAGAGGAGAGAGGAGCGTTGCTATTCAGCTAACGAACAGCGCGGCGTAACTTCGTGTTTCCCTCTCCCACTCGCGTATCTCCGTATCTCTTCTCTTTTCCCGATCGATTTGTCAATCTCCGGAAGTGAGGCTCCCTCGTGGCGTATTTTTAGAGTCGTCACGCGTCACCCTCTAAGATCGCTGTCGTAAATATTGCAGCGTCGCGCTACGCGCGCGGAATCGTGACGTATAGCGTGCGCTATTACAAGTCGGTTAGCTAACCCGTCATTAACGTATAATAGCGTATAGCGGCCGCCTGAACGATCGTGCCTCGGGTTCGAATGATTTCAATGCGCTCGTCTCGGGACAGTGGCGCCTGTCCTGCACGTACTGTCCTTTTCTCTCTCTCTCTCTCTCTCTCTCTCTCTCTCTCTCTCTCTCCCACCTGCGCCTCCTTCCTTTTGCTTCTTAACGATTCCTTAGAACCGGCGCCCGCAGTCTCGTAGGAAGTCGCCGTGCGACGGGAATTGAAATTAATCGCGCCTCATGCGTACATCGATAACATCCCACTTGACGCTTGTCCTTTCTTCTTCTTCTTTTTTTTTTCTTTTTTTTTTACAATGCTAATTAAACCACGAAATTAGCCGTCTTTATATTGTATTTGTATCGTCGGGATCTGAAACGCTCGTTTGTACTCCCACTTGGTATTCCGTTAGCGTCGAGCGTTAATTGCTATTTATGAATACATTAGCACTCCAAGTAGACGCGAATGTTAGCATCGGTGGAGCAATATTGCAGTTTACAAGCGACGATGCATGCTAATAGATCGCCTTTCACGAGTACTAATGAACGAGCCGAGAAAGAGAGGTGGATTGCTTTAATCCGCGTGGCGAGAGACGACACGGCCGCAGTCGCGCGCGAATGTGTGTACGACACTCGAGTGTGGAGTTAATAGCGTCCATCGGGAACACGCGTCGCATCGTGTTTATCGTAATCGGCAGTTTTACAAAGGACACCCAGGCGTCCCTGAATGCTCACCTGTTCGGCGACTGCGACTGTCGGGATTTCTCTTCGCGCAGCAACGTATCGGTATCATCGCGAGAACGAGTTCGGCGACACGTTTAGAATGGTCGTGTGCCGTCGGATCGACGGATATCGTTCAACTCGAAGGCGGCAAAGTTCGCCGGTTTACTCCGCGTTTTTTACTCGATTCGCCGAGAATCGCTCGGCCGTTTCGTCTTAACCGTCTCTTCGTCGCCTGCCGGATGTGTGCAAATCCGTTTTGCGACTTTTGCGTGCGAAGATTTGCCAAGAGCGGTTGCTCTCTCTCTCTCTCTCTCGCTCTTTGTCTTTTTTTTTCCTAAATTTCCTCGCGCGGTAAAACTCCGATTTCCCGATGGGTTCCACCGGCGTTTGCTTCGCCAAAGTTGAAATTTCGAAACTTTCGAATCGATGTTGCCAGTCTGGGCTAACAGCAAATAAAATTGACCTAGGTTGCACATGCCATGTGCCATGGTGGCAAAGAGCAGGGGGCAGGGAGGGAGGGACGGAGGGAAAAGAGCGTCTCGGAGCGTCGAAAAGGTGGAGTGGAGAAGGCGCGAGACGATAAGGTGAAACTGAAGGCGATGGGCCAAGTCCG